GCAGAGCCAATCATAAACTGGGAGCTAAGTACTATGGCCCTTATCAGATTACCAAGAAACTTGGGGAGGTGGCTTATCAGTTGGCCCTACCTGGGGAAGCAAAGGTTCATCCGGTATTCCATGTTTCCTTGCTGAAGAAACAAATTGGGGATAAGATCATACTCATTATGCAACTACCTGAAAGACATATTACTCACCATCCGGAGCATCACCCTCTTTCTGTGCTGCAAACACGATCAGTCCAGCGAAGAAGTCATGTGGCAGAGCAGTGGCTTGTGCATTGGTCAGACTCTTCCCCAGAAAGCGCCACTTGGGAGGATGCAAATTGGGTCAGAAAGCATTTCCCTGATGTTGGATCTTGGGGACAAGATCAAAGTGAGTGGGAGGATTGTTACGAGGGAGCTACCTAGGGCAAGAAAAGTAGAAGCAAAGGAAGAAGGCCAACAGCAAAACCAGAAGGAAAAGAAGAAGAGAAGGAAGGAACTGAAATACCAAACAATTGAAATTGGAACGACGTCGTCTGGATACTGAGCAAAACGGTGTCTTTTGGTTATGTTAGTTACTTAGTTTAATTAAAGTTGTAATAATTAGAAAACGTTATTTTCCCATTCCCTGTTGAACATCGCTTCTTCTTCAGCTGAGTATATATATATGCTTGCATATACTCAGCAGGACAGGTGAAATTTGTTATGAAAATTCAGTTAGTAGTGGATTGAATCTGCAATTCACTTTATTCCTCACCTCTTCTCTTTTTTTTTTTTTTATCATCCCCCCCTCCCCCCATTTCTGTTACTTGTGTGAGATTATTGCTGGGTTCAGCTGGATTCATCTGGAATTGACTGCAGGAAATCAGAGTTGGAGTCCCAGTCGTGACATAGGGACTCAAAATTGGATTTTCTTAAAGAATCTTTACAAGGTTTGAATGGAATCATTTATAATTCCATGACCTAATTCTATAAGCCCAATGAAGCATTTATTTATTTACTGCTTTGGGTGCTCGAAACCGGTGTAATGCCCTAAACATAAATCTAGTGCTCAATAACCATAAGATAAAGCGTTGGTGATAATTAAATAAGCATTTCCAGTAGATAATAATTCTGCCATAGAATATCTTTCCATTCCATTTGCTCGTTGGCATCCCAAAAGTAAGACTCGATGGCGACCGGGATAACCATTGATAATGAATACTTCTCTGATTCTTAAACGCGGAAAAATACAAGTGTAATAAAGAGTACAAATCATTCCATATGATTGCAAGATAGTTCAATCTTGAAATTCAATAACTTCAAAATAGTAAGAAACTATAATAATTAGATGAAACTATCATCGCGAATCTCTATCTTCTTATGTGGGTTTAATTTCAAAAAACAAATGGGACCAAGAATTGAATTGATTATTACAAAAAATCAAGGCTTGCAGAGATAACCATAGCGTAAAAAACGACTCACCGCAGAACCAATGAGAGCAATTGGCCTGGCAGGGAATGTGAAAATTGGCGTGGCATATTGAGCAGAAATCATTCTCCGGCGGCGCCTCCATTTCTTTGATTCTTTCAACTGCAATCACCCTTTAACCTTTTCTTAATTAATTCTGGATTGATTGGTTATAGCTTGCTCCAGTCCGGGGTGCATAATAGGGATGTGTGCTGGTTAGGAGGGGAGAGGACAATTAATACGTTAAAAACTTAGCCACGAAGATATTGAACAATCAAGATTTGAAAAGGATTAATAGCCTAAAAAAAAACCCCAGGTTTTCATTTTGCGTTGTACCTTTTGCCAATTGAAAATCGCAAAAAAATCTCTTATTTAAAATTTTTTGTGCGAAAAACCCACTATAGTCAAATTTTTCATAAAAAAAAGTAAAAATGTCAAAATTAAAAAGTAGTAGTTATAATTTTAGTGTCCTCATTTTTATATTTTTTTTTACAAATTATACTTTTTTTTTTATGTACTACCCACAATCTCAAACCTTTAAAATATTATTTTCCATCCCATTCCCCACCCCACTCCACTTCATCTTCTTTCTTTCATTATTTTATTTAATCCCTTCCAAAACTCTCATAAATCACTCACCCCAAATTCCTCATTTCTTCTTCTTCTTCTTCTCATTCCCAACTTTAAAACCCTCCTACTCCAATCACCACCCTCCAGTGGCGACCACTACAAGCAACCACTATCGGGACACTTCTACAAGTTTCTATGTATCTGTTGTGGAACTTCAAATTTTCATGAAGCTCAACATCAACTTCAGGTAACTCACTCAATTTTTTTATGGGATTTTTCTTTTGCATAGAAATCTTTCAATTTAATCTCAAGAACACGAGCACTCAATATGTTCCAGAGCGCCGTATTGCCTCAAACCAATTGTTTCTGTTGGACATGATCGATCGAAGAGTTCTGCAAATGCTTCTTGGGAGTCTCAATTTTTTGGTCGAGAGAGAGCCCATCAGAAAGGCAATTTTGTGATGCTTTAAACTAGATACAGCCCATTGATCCAAAGTGGTTTTGTGAAGAATCGAAAATCGTTTTCAAGGAGTGTTGAAGAAAATGAAGGCCAAATGTTTGGTGAAACGTGAGAGATATGGAGGTGAGGTTTACAGAGAAAGAATAGTTGGATTAATTAAGCTAGCAATTGCGAAAAATCTAGGAAACTAAGTCCACCAGAGACACCAAGAGGTGAAGTCCTCACATCCCCGCTAGGATTTGACTGTGCAGCCAACTTTGTTTGCACACCTTCAGTTGCAAAATTTCAATTCAAGAATGTCAATCAGTAACTGTTGGATTTAGGATTGGGAAGAGAGTTTTTAAGTGTAATCTTGGGAATGAGAAGAAGAAATAAGGAATTTGGGGTGGGGGATTTAGGAGGGTTTTGGAAGGAAATAAAATAATAAAGTTCGGGGAAGAAAATGAAATGGGGCGGGGTGGGAAACGAAGTTTAAACAAGATTTAACCTCTTTTGTATATTTAGCAAATAAAACATCTATATTCAAGCCATTTTTATGTTCACAAAAATGAATGTATAGCCCCTGTTTGGCACCTATTTTCTTTCTCATTTTTTTTCTCTTTCTTCATTTCAACCACACATTCTCCAAATAAAATAATATTATAAACAAATCTAAAACTTTTCATCACTTTTCAACTACACATTCTCTCATCAATCACTATTCCAAAAATTTTCAACCTATTAAAATGGGTGTCAAACACTCACATAGTATTAAAGTAGAAAATGACACAAAGTCGGTTCAAATCTAGAACAGCTTCAATTATTTTTAGCAAATAGCTATTTGGTCATCCTTTTTCTCTGCTGGGAGGAGAGGCTTTATCCCAAATACAGACAATACAACATTAAACATATTTGAAAAAACTAACCTCTTTATCGGCCTCAAAGAATTCAGTCTCACCCTTCTTTTTCTTCTCGACTAGCTTTACAAAGTACGTGTCGTCAAACTTTGCCAAACATGCACTTACGTGTTGAGTTTGATTGTCTGTGTTGACTGTTCAAAAATCAAATGTCCTCAGTCAAGAATGAGCAACTATCAACATGTTGGCATCTATGTTAAATATTGGTTGTTTAACAATTTTGGGCCCAATGATGTAGTCCAAACTGAAAACCCAATTCTGTTGGTTTTTTCCTTTGTGCATTCTCGCGTTTTAAATTGAAGTACGACTTTGATTATTTTATTTAAAGGTTGAGATGATGCCATGTGGAATAGTTGTAACCGTTGGATGCTTCCGACTGTTTGTATTATTGGCTTGACTCTTCATTTGCGTCTGGTTTCGAGATTATTCTTAGAGTTTTCTCTATTATGCTCTCGGAAAACATTTGGTTTTCGTCTTGTAATCTCTTATTTTAGATGTTCTTGGTGAGGTCTAGTGTTGATTAAGGTGTGATTGTGGTGAATATGTTCTTTGGTTGACCAGTAACCTTTAGTTACTTTGTGTATTCTGTTGAGGGTTTCTTGAGAGAAATTTTTGGGTCTGAGAGCATAATCCTTTGTGGATATCTATATTATAAAACTTGTATTGGTTTTTTTGCTGGTTTCTAGTGGATTGGAGCGATAATCACTTCGGTGTATGCTTAACGGTTTATTGGTCCTAATTTGGGTGAACATCCGGGCATACGGGTGAAAAATCTCTCGTGTTCTTTAATTTTCTGTAATTATTTGGTGCTTTGGAGCCTATATAATACCAACACTCTACTATGGGTTTAAAGTGAACGTTAAACCGGCAGGAAGCCAGTTATGCGGCACATGTCCTAGCTAAGTGTACTCTTTTGTCTTTCACTGATTGTACTTGGACTATAACATTCCTCAATTCCTTGTACACATTTTACAGTTGGATGTTTTTGTTGTGGTATGACCCAATTTCTATTGGAAATTGATGCTAAGTTGAATAGGATTTGGTGTTTAATTGATAAAGAGATCTAAATACGTATTGGTTTGAATGATCTAAATTTCATCAAAGATTGAGAGTTTGATTGGAATGACTTTCGATAAGTTGAAAACTTGGTTTTGGAGTTTTTGACAGATATAGAGTGCTCAAGTGCTCAGATCGTGGCACCTAAGCCTGCAAAACAGGTGAAACAGAAGAATTCATTCGAGACGTAACGACCAAGCGCCGTGGAAGCAGTGCTCGAGTGCCTCGTCTGCCGCTCTCTTCCTATGAGTCCACCGCTCAAGTGGCTATGTAATCCGACCGTTGAACAGTTTCACGATTCTGAAAGTATTCTATTATCCTATTTCATCCAAAATACTATAATTGAGATCCTATGTATATCCCACAAATTGTATAGTCTTCATGACATTGAAAACATTGAGAGAACAATAAAAACTTGAGAGGAATTGTTAGATTTAGATTGATTGTATCAAATCTTGTAAAACAATTTCAATTTCTTGATTTATTGAATTCTCCTCCTCTACTCATGATTTTTTTTCCATCTTTAGCTTCCACGTAAATCTTGGTGTTCTTGTTTGTTATTGCTTTATTTTCATCTTGCAATTATCTTGTTCTAGTCATAACAATTTTTGAATGAAATGTTTATGAATCATGTTATGGAGTACCGGTGAACACGAGTCTCTGTGCCATTCGGTTGCCTTAATTAGTCTAATTAACGTAGTACAATTTAAAAATTGATCAACCACGTGTTAATAAGATCGAAAAAGCTGGCTTGATAACTTTGTTGGAAAAAATAGCTTCTAGGTTGGTTTTGACATAATTTTGAGTGGGACTCGTTCGATCATTTTGAAAGATCAAAATTGATTCGTATTTTTCTTCGTGAGAATATTGAAATCATATATTTACTTATTGAAAATGATCCTCACGTGAATGATAAATTAAAGCTTAAAGTGTTGAATTGAAAGAGGTTAATGTGTAGGAGGATTTTTTTTTTTGTCCACTTAGAAAGTTTACAAAGGTAAAAACTAATTTATATATGATTATACTTTGGAAGGGTGTAATCATGTATAGCATAAAGGGCATCTCTATATGCGCATGTAGGGGTGCAAATCAAGGATCAAATCAAAACTTTGGACATTGACATTGTATGCAGGTGTGATATGCGTACACGAATGTCGGATCAAAAATTGGCCCCTTGGACTAATCGATTAATATAAGCAAATTAATTTTGTAAAAGTAGACATAGCCAAGCATTACTTGAAGGAGTAAACTACTTGAATACACAAAGTGTACATCTTAATTGAAACCCCCATATATGTCAAAGATCTAGTAGTTAATTGGAAAAAAAGTGTTGTCAAGATCAATATACTAAAATCTGTTAACTTACATGGATGTAAACAAATGTGTCAAAATTCATGTACACGATCCTTACTCGAATCAACCCATGACCCACAACCTCGGGTTTTCTACATCGACTTTAAACCAACAGTTTTCAATTTATTAATATTACGCAATAGTGAATAATCTTGAAACTTGAGCTCATTATTGATGATGAGCAGACTGATAAACAACCACTTCATTTATTCAGTTGGTGGGACATTGATTGGAAACCAAACACAGGTCTTGTGATAGAATATAGGCATTGCACAAGGACAACTAAGAATCTTAGAAACAAACTTTGATAAATTAGATGTTACATTGCTTTCTTTTACTTTGTACTAAGTTCTTTCAGATATATTCATAGAAACACGAAAATCTACGTTTTTCTCTGGGTAAAAACTCGGGTGGGAACTTTTAACGATATTTCATTTAAGAACATACAAAACTTTGAAATTAATTGGAAACGCAAGTGGAAATTTGACAGATTGGCATTTTCTATCAGAAAAAAACTAGACATTGGAAGAATAAGAGGTATCTATAATGACTAAAGCCTCTTGTACAATGTTTTCTTGACATCAAGTTTGAAACCATATGTAAATTCAAATTGTGTTTGGCGGGAAAGTGATGTTTTTAAAAACTGCCCAATGTGATGCCACCACGTGGCACAAATACAAACATGATGTCAAAGTTAGTGTACTTG